TCTTAGTTTGTGTTTCTACAAATACTTAGATCTATGTATTGTGGATGAAATTCAGGTCAAGGTATAGGTTAGGGGGGAATTAGACAGCAGGAATCTCAATGTTGTCAGGTCTCTTGGGACTCTCACAGTAAGTCCACAGGGATGCTCCTGGAGCTGCTTTCTCCTTCTTTCTTGGGACTTGGAATAAGAAACAGATTGCATGTATTTCCCAGAGAGGAAAATGGTTTGATCCCCAGATATTAGAACTTCACTTGGCAGCCATCATAATGTTTTGGTGGAAGGGAAGCTGGAGAAAAATCTTAAACTCATTTTTTCATTCATGGGGTTTCCTGGTGCTGCTGAGGGCAGTGCTGGTGCACCTGAAGGGATGGGAATTAACAACACCTGCTTGCTAAATAACTGAACTCAGATCCGAAAAAATATTTATCTAAGGTTCCTACTCTCAAGCTCAATTATTTGGCTGACCCAAGAAGTGTCCAAAGTCATCTTTTGCTTTTGAATTTGAGATGTCTGGGTTTTGGTTGTTTGGAAGTGGTTTTCTGGGTAGCATGTTGTGATTTTTAGTTTTTTGGTTGGCTTTGTTTTTTTGGGTTTTTTTTCTGTCTCATAGTCTAATCTACAATGAAAGCTACAATTTTTAGTTTTCCATGGGCAAACAAGGACTGATGGAAGCTACAGGAGTGATGGTTGTTATGAAAGCACACTAGTAACCTGAGGAATCCAGCTTTTCTCTTTTTCAAACATTTCATTAGAAGATTGTAATAAAATGGAAATACATTCTGGTTTTCTCCTTTCTTTTTTGCTTGCATCACCTATGCTGTTCTTTTAATGGATGTCACTATTTTGTAATGCTGTGCCTTACATCATACTCTACTCATCATAACAAAATACTTTATAACATACTTAGCAAGCTAAAGCTACTGCATGAAGTTTTTACGAATGGGCAGCGTACAATCCTAGTGAGCAGTTCCCAAACATCAGTACATTGTACATTGTATTAGGTTTCAGAAAGGTCATCAGTGTAGAAGAAGCAGAGAGAACCCTACAGATTTCCATTTCTTGGCTTGGTATTTGCATCCAGCCTGTCAGACTTGGCCTTTAGAGACAGATCTGACCTCCGGTTGAGCCAGCAGTTCAGCAGTGGAGGGAGTCACTTGATAGGCAGCAGATCTGCAAGCTTCTAAAAATATTTTCTTGAGCAGCATTTTTCTGCAGGATGCTGTATTTGTTTAGTCTAAGCCATCCCTTTCATTCAGAAACACCACTGGCCTGATTCCCTTCACCCAGTCATCCAACTCTACTGGCTTTGACAGTGCTGCTCTGAACACCAGCATCAGTGAATTGAAGAGCAGATTTCTAAACAGCTGTGTGAGTCACCGCTGAAAACATTTTGATATACCATGGGCATTGGACCAATTCACTCGGAGTGTGCTGGGTTAGAATACATCAGCAAGCTCATGCTGATTCCTTCTCCAAACATTTTAGACAATGGAACAATTTACCTGACAGAAACTCAGTTGTCTACCTGTCTCTTACTCTGTAAACAGTCTCATTGATTTCATGGAGTAGGGTGCTGAGAATTTCTCTTGGAGTCTGGTCTGCAGTGCTTCATTTGGAGAAGAATAAATTAGCCTACTACTTATCTGTCCACTTTGGGAAGTATGGGGCAATCAGGCACCTCTGTGCAGAGATGTTTTACTCTGGGTGTGCAAATACGACTGCAAACAGAGTGCTCTGTATGGGAAGTAAAAAGATGACTGGGGCTCGGTGTTCTTCCCAGAAAGCAATGGGAAATGATACTGCTGATGTCTTCCTAATTCTTAAAATTAATGTATCTTCACAACCTGTCCTGCTAGCCAACAAAACAGCCTAATTAGCAGTATCAGGTCTAAAATAAAATTACTTTTAGTAGGGGCTTTCCTGGATTTTCCTTTGGAAGATAAAATATTTATTTGCTAGGAAGAAGTATAAAGAGAACTTGGAAATAGTTGAAGCATCTTGTTTTGATTTTTGCTGATCTTCATTTCAAAAATAGACAAGCTGATTTAACCATTTTTCTTTTTAGCTGACAAGAAATGCGATTTTTTTTTAAGAAATTAGTGTTTTATAAAGGAAGCACTGACAAGCTGTCTCACTGCTAGGTATGGCCTGAATATCAAAACAGTTATTTTAAAGGCTTGTTCTACAAGAGAGTTTTGTTTTGCAATCCAAAACAATAAATAATTCTTTTCAGTGTGTGATTTTATTTTCCAAGGTGTTTAGCAACCTGGCATTTTAGTGACGGCTGCACAGAAAGAGACAATCATATGTCAACAGCAAGCCTCTAGCTGTCTTTCTGTCTTGCTTTTCCCTTATTTCCCTGCATCCCTGTATATCTCAGATGACCTGATTCATCATTATTTCTGTAACATGAGATAGAACATATGTCACACTGCTGACCTTAAGAGTAAATTGTATTTTTACTAAAAGTGAAAACAACTGCCCAAATGCCTCTTTTTTTTTTTTTTTTTTTAATTTACCACAATGAGAAGCCCAAATTAATTGCCACTTCCACAGCTTAATGTGAACCCAAACTCTGAACACAGAACTAATTGAGCTTATTTTTATATTGAATAACATGGGCTGAGCAGGAGGTGATGTCAATCCTTGATTACCATTCTAATTGCTCTGAATATTTCCCTGTAGCTGTCAGCAAGGTGATGCTCGTACACATGACTAAATTTGGCACACTGCAAATCTATTACCACCAGGACAAGCAGACCCTGAGTGGCAGGCTGGCAGGCATTGCCTGCTGCTTGCAGGGGAAGGTGCTGCTGTGCTATGGAGTGTTTAACATAGGGCACGTGACATGAAATCCCATTATGAGTAGGGACAGCATCACGGTTATTTGTGTTTTAAGCAGATAGAGGGGCCAGATGTGGTGGCACAACCAGAGTATTTTGTTTGCTAATTAGCAGCATCAATGGTACAGGGCAATCTTCAGCAAATATTTACTGTCTAAAAGGGTTTTTCTGAAGAGCTGAAAATTTCACAGGTTTCAGTTTAATATCATTTTGTCCTGAGTTCACCTGCACAGTTAAGCTGAAATGGATTAAGTTGATCTTCTTTTCCCATTGTTTTCATTTTCCTTTTTTTTAACAGAACCATCACACGAATGAGCAAGTGTCATTCTGGATGAACTTTCATTATATCAGAAAGCCTGATTAGAAAGTAAAGAACTGTAAAGAACAGTAAAGAATATTTTATGAGCTTCCTTTGAAAGAAAGTTTGTTGAGCATACTGCTGTCAGTCAGTATTTGTCTGGCTGCTTCAAGTTTCCATTTCTTTTAACCACTGCTTCTTACTAATGGGGCATAAAGAACTTACCAGAAAAAAAGAGAATGTGCTGAAAACAAGGCCTAGTTTGATACACACTCTTCTATTTTTTAATCTCTGAAAAAGATGTCTGGTTTTCTGCCTTAAGCCTGGTACTACTCATGCAGTGCTAGCTGGGAGTATGGGTCCCTGATGTACTGGATCCTCCTGCAGCTCCAGAGTTTCAGATCTATTTCCATCAAAGGACTTCTGAGGATGTATTTATGCTCAGCAAGTAAAGACTTTGCTGACATCACAGGAGTGCTCATGAGATATTGTTTGAGCCTGTAAAATTTTACTAAAATAGAATACTAGGCCAATACTCAAGGGCATGCTGCTAGCCTGGACTCAGGAAATAGAGATCGGATGACTTCTGTGGAAGAAGATTCTTTCACATTTTTTGACAGTGGCAAATCATTCTGTCTCCTCCATCTCAGTTCTCCCAAAAGAACAAGACTAAGGGCACTTGTTGACTGTTTTTGTTTGATTTTCTCAGGTATGTTGGCCTGCATAAGAGAAGCTCTGTCTATTGTCCCTCCCCAATTCAGGCAGCTGTTTTTTCAGTTGCATTTTCATTCTGAGCTACCTTCTGCATTAAAATATAAAACTCTGTATATATTTGGGTAAAATAATACATATGAAGAAACAGAGAGATAGTCTGATTTGCTAAGACTTCTTTTATTCTGTTCATATGGCACAGCTGAGGGATGGCTAAGTGTCAGAGATATCAGGAATGTCTCTTCTTAGGAGCTGGGGGAATGAAGCTCATGGCACATACAGGGAGGAGGTTAGACAAGATATCTTCAAACACGTCACTGGTATGTAGTCAAGAGTTAATTCTGCCAAAGTAGCAGAGATATCATCACAGAGCACAGAAAAGGTTATCAAATTCCAGTTTTAATTTTCACATGCTAATTGCATTTCTTCCATTCCTGACCAGAACATCAAAGGAGTTGGGTCTAGTTATAAATCCAAATTTTGAATCTCTCAGTACATAGGCAAATTGGTTTGTTTCCAGCGGATCTGGAAATCTGTCAGAAAGAAAATAAAATTTCATCCTAAAATCTTGTAGCTTAAAATGTTAGGTGACACTGCACATCAGAGAGAGATTAAATCTTATGCTGCAGAATTTTCTATTAAGCAGCTCTTCTCCATGTAGAAAATAAGATCACATATTTTTAGCACACTTTCTCCTGTCCTTCCCCCCATCTTTTTGTATATAAGCATTCTGGCTTGGAAGCTTAGCTACAGAAATTCTGCACACCTTCACTGTCAATTTTGCCCCTAATGAGCTCTTATTTTACAGTAGCTTTAGGTGGTTTGCAGGGCTAAAATTAAACAGCATAAGTTCTGAATTGCTTGACTCCTTAGCAAACAGCTCCCAGGTGCACAGGAAGAATGCCTGTTTTCTTTTGTTTTAATAGAAACACAGCTGTAGACCCCAGTTTCAGAAAGTCAATGTGTCACAGCTTTGTGGTAACTTCTTGTGGTTTGTCACTGACATCTCATCAATGATGTGGCCCCAGAAGAGAGAACATCATAGGCTTTGTACATATTTTATTGATATTATCGTGTTTTCATTGATAGCCTGACACTGCAATGGAGTTGTTGTGATGTGTGGTTTTTCTGCTGTTTTTCAGAGATGGACCTAAAGAACCCTTCAATCCCAATGGGTATATTTTGCAGCCTTGTATGCAACTTGTGAGCATTACCTCATTGAACTCATTCTTGGGTGAAAAGCACCCAAAGAGAAAGAGGAGCAAGAGAGGACAGAGAGATAAAAAGTAGGAGTAAAACATGTGAGTAATTTTCTGAGATTCTCAGAAGCAGATTAGCTCATGAGACTGCTCATGTAGAGCGCGTCTAGGGGAGGCTATCTTGTTGCTGTTTCACATGTATAGGGTGATAGAGTCTCAGCCTTCTTGAAGAAGGGTGTTAAATGACTTAGGGAGTCTTGTTCCTGGGAGGCTACGGCTCTGAGGGGATGGGAAGGAGGCAGTAGGAGGGGATTTGTGGAAGAAAAAGTGGTCTTGAACTGTACTGAAGCATAGAGGCTTATATTTGCTCTGAAGCGCCCACTCAGAAACCTAACTTCAGACAGCACCAAACAAATACAAGATAAAAATATTTAAGATGTAAAATGAGGTATTAGTCACAATCTGATGATGTTTGGCATTGCACTGTTGATGTACTCCCTTAAGAATATGCCAGTTTCTTCCAGACTTTCTTGTAATATGGAAGAAAACACACTAAACTACTGATTTTGTCCTACATAATACACATGCTGCAAACCAGAAATTCTGCAATGTAATAGATGTTGATAATGTCATTAACTTTCTGATTCACTGCAGTTCAGAGCTGGGGGTTAGAAAGATTTTCATCAGCAACTGAAGATAAATGAAGAAAAAATGCCAAGCTAAAACTAGCTGCTGTATTATTGATTATCTGGAATTTCTGATTTTTCTCTCTTATAACTGAATTTTCCCATAGTTCTTTTCAAAATTTGCCACTATAGGAAAATATTTCTAATTACTGCTATTTGAGGCATGCCTCTTAACCAGTATTGAGGGTACTCTAATTCCAATTTAAAATTATTTTCCTTTCCTATCTAATTTGAATCCAAAATAAGGTAATCTTTTTCTTTTCTTTCTTTGTTTTTTCTCCTCTCCTAGATGGATGTCCCAATAAGAATAATTGGTCTGTTTTCATCTTTGGCTTCAACTTATCCAAATTAATGCAATTCTGTTCAAGAATTGGGTGGCATGGTTGAAAGAAAGTCAGGACAAGAACTGTATCTTTTACACTGTAAAATGTACACAGTCTCACTCTGTTTCACAACAATCAAAGAAGAACTTAAGGTATTAAGGATTTAAAAAACACACTGTATTTGCAGAAAGATGAACTAACACTTTTGTTTGATTCTATTAATCTAGTTTGTCCAAAATTTAGTGCAGCAATCAGACAAGAACTTTTCAAAGCAGTGCCTATGTATAAAGTAATGTAGTCAGTGTTCTTTTGACTCACAAGATTAGAGAGCATTAGAAAGCTTGTTCACCATTAGCTTTGTTCCAGTTTCTTCCAGGAATTTTAAAAATAACAAAACCCTGAAGGCCCAAGCCTGTTCCTGTTTAAAATATAGTTTGTGGTCATCAACTAGTACTTCAGGGGTTTTATTCATCAAAATATTTTAACAGAGCCCCAAATAATTATTTTCAAGACTGTCTGAAGAGCACTAGAGATCAGTAGCAAACAATAAATTAAATGAAAAAGTATTTAACTTAATGTCACACTGCACAAATAATAGTATGAATTACACTGATTGTAATTACCATTTAAAAAAGAAAACTGGGATTTGCATAGTGTTATAATAGGCTAAATTCTTCTCTTAGAAACAGATCAAGCCTGAGAAAAAGAAAGGTTCTTCCTTGCTCTAAAAAGACTACCTCTCCTGTCCCACCTCCCAAAAGTGCAAGGTTTATTCATAAATGTTGCCAAGATGCCAAATGTCTCAGTGCTGCCCTGGCTGTCAAGCAGCAATGAGGCTCTGGGTTAGAAGGTCAGGGCTCCACTATGTGCTGTGAACATGCTGAAGAAGACCCAGACACATCTCCTCCCGTGTTGGTGAACCCCCTTCTCAGCTGAACTGGAGAAGATGCCTCAGTCAGGGGCAGAAAGCGAGCAATGAGGAGTTTGGTTTCTTTGCCTTCAGCATGAACATAGAAATTACACAGAAATGAAGGTATCTACAGCATTACAAAGGCATACTAGTTATACAGGAATAGATCACAGATGTTTTCTTATGATGAATAGCAGCTCACACTGCAAGGATACTAGTTGGTTTCAGTGGCAGCATTTTGGAGGGTCCCAAAGTACTCCCCGCACAGAAATGCTAATAAGAGTCATGTTAAAATATATATCCAAGGTTTTTTTGGAACATCTTAAGATGAAAAATAAATGTATGGTTCACTGTTTATTTAAATTATTGTATTAGCATCAAAATGTGACCACATCAGCCCAAAGGGAGTGATTATATTGCTACCACTAGTGAGTCAGGTTTTATGATCAGAGTCTATAAACTAAGTCTATAATCTGGCTTGATCACTAGTAGCAGACATAGTTTATAAAGACATGGTGGTTCTGTTCTCATTTGTGATTCATGGGGATGATTTTTGGCCAAATCGATCAGTTCATCAAATCACTTATAAATGTCTGCATGGGTATATTAGAAAAAAGACCAAGCTCACATCTTCAGCAGGCAATCCTCTAGGCATACAGCTCAGGATTTTACTCCAAAGTTCATGTAGGAATCATGCAATTTATTTTTTTCTTTTATATAGTACATACCTAACCTTGAGAGCAAAAGTACTTTTTTCTGGCACGGGTTGCATGTTGTGATGTATCCCAGTTACATTGCAATTTATTTAAACAGGAACAGTGGTGAGCTTGATGTGGAAATGCTTTTGTCATATATGAAAGGAAAGCTTCAGCCCTCATTTATCTAGGATGAAAAATGAAAACGTGAAAGCTGCGTGTTGTTTGATTCTGAAAAATGACCTGACCAGATGTCAAAATTATTGAGAAGCAGCATGACAGCCCTTGGATGCCAACCCTTGAAAGTAAGACAAGCAAGACAAGGAGATATTGAAATATGTGGACTGGACTTGAACTCTGTGTTTGTATTTTCTTTAAAAGGAAAACAAAAATCTTTCTAAAAATATTGGCTTAATCTTTTGCTTCCAACAGTCAGAAATACCAGATGAAGTTTGCCAAATTATGGGGAAATTTCAGCTTTGATGATGTGTTAGTTTGGTTATCTGTCAGGAAGCTTATTTTGGATATATCCCCCAAACATGATTTATAAAATCACAAAATCACAGAATATGCCGAGGCGGAAGAGACTCCCAAGGATCATCAATTCCAACTCTTAGCCCTGCACAGGACCATCCTCAGGAGTCACACCATGTGCCTGAGAGCGTTGGTCAAATCCTTGAACTCTGTCAGGTTTGGTGCTGCGACCTCTTCCCTGGGGATCCTGTTCCAGCACTCAACCACCCTTTGGGTGAAGAACTTTTCTCTAATATCCAACCTAAACCACCCCTTACACAGCTTCAGGCTATTCCAATGGGTCCTGGCAATGCATAGACTCTAAAATGGTTAAAATTATTTTAAAAGAGGGGACTTTTCTTTGCACTTTAGCAAAGGAAAGTTTTCTAACCTATTCCTTGCTGTGATTTTTGTTTACTAATGAAGCCCGTTGGTTGTGTAGGATGGACTGGAGGCGGGTAAATTAAACATGTACAAAGGCTTCATTGACTGTCATGTCACTGATAGTGAAGGACTGAATGGCCCTAGAAAAAGGTCTCTTACACTTTCTTATCCTGCGTACATGTTATGAATGGTCATTTTTAGTCTCACCTAAAATGTTGGCAATGGAACTAGACAATTTGATAATACTTACTATTCTATGGATTCTATTTGTGTTTGTTTGGTTGGGTTTTTTAATCTGCAAAACACTGTAACCATTTCTCAAACTCCACCTTTGGCAGATAGGGTGCTGCAAGCAGATGTTTATAGATGTTGTAAGTACTTACGTCCTCTATTTGGAATTGAATCTCTACGCCATGACAGTAGAACAGACCGGTTAAACACTGAGTTCTTCTGCAGTGCTGGTTTTCATCCTATTCCTATTCTAGCAAAGCTAATAAAAAATGCTGTTTTATATCTGCTCTCCTATTCTTAATTGTTTCTTTGGTGGGATCAGACCTTTATTGATTGATAAAAACATGAATCTTACATTTTTCTGCAAAGATAATTGAATTTCACCATTTATTTCTGAAGCAAAAAAAAATTACAAATTAATTTTTCTTAAAACTTTCTATAAACTATTTTATTCTTTCCTACTGAAAGTTAATTGAGAATAATATTATTTTTTTTAGCATCTCCAAGATGTAGCATTTAATTTATAATTATAATTGCACTATTTACCATCTTTCATCACTGATGTCAGTCATTAGCTTTCAGGAATGTACAAGTTCAACACAGTCTAATGTTTGAAAGTTATATCCAGAAACTGAATATCAAAGTTTCTATAAAAAGAAAAATGAAATATTATGTGGTAATAACATATATGGTGTGAGAAATCTGTCAAAGGACAAGAATTTTTTGGGTACTTTTATCACATGCTTGAAGAAATCTATCATTTCCTCTGGACTTGCCTTTGGGCCTTGTTCTGCCAACATTACTGGTTTCAGATCTTGCTAGTACTAATGTAAATCTCCATTAAATTTAGATTAACTGCCTATACTGATGAAGGCAGAAATGAAGTCAGGCACCATGCAAGAACCTAGGCCTCTTTGGAAGAGGAGGGAGAGTGATTGTGATAAGGCACAAGATAACACCTTTCTAATATGGATTTTGAGATCATGTCCAGCCAGCTGAAATTATGGAGAGAAGACCCTCTGTCTGTCAGCCTGCAGTCCTGTGACCTTACCCTTGATAGTTACCTCACACACCAATGAAAGAAGGGAAAGGAGAGGACTCCCACGTTCTAATATGGAGTTTCTTGAAGTAATGACGCTTGAGGGACCAGAGAGGAAAAAAAGTGTAAAACAGGACAAGATTAGACAGACTTTTCAGAGTTTTAAAACATGACACTTAATCCATGAGCTTTCTCATCCTATTTCCTCCCCCTGTACTGCTCAGGTGAGGGAGTGAGCGAGAGGTTCAGTAGGTGTGTAACTGCTGGCTGAAGCTTGCCAAAGCTAATCCACCACACATGGCAAAGCAGAACCCCCACACAAACTGCAGATGTTCCTCATACCTTTCTGTGATGAGGGTACATGTGGATCCGAAGTGGGGGGGGGCATATGCAGAGCCAGAGTCAGTACAGCAGTTTCCATTCTATGTTGGGTCTCAAGACCTCTGTCCCCTCTCCTTACCCCACTGCTGAGCACTCATCCCTGCCTCCCGCTCCTCTCATTCCATCTGTCCCAAGCTACTGTCCTCCCAGAGCTTGTGGGTTCTGTCAGCTGCTTGCTTGTCTCTAACCAGACCCTGCTGCTCAGATCTGCATCTCCATTCTCCCTCAGATCTCTGGTGCTGTGGGCTTTTGGCTGGAAGGGAGGGCAAGGCACAGAGAATAAAACTTACCCACCCCCACAGCCTTTCCTGTTCCTTACTGCCTCTGAGAAGCTCTTCTGGTTCTTACAGCATGGCTGCCGCTCTTTCACACTTTCACTTTGAGGCAAAGACAGATTAGAAACAACCCCCATGGACATGCAATCTGCCCTTCTCTCTGCCATCCTCTTGCAGCACAATCTTTATATCCAGGATAAACAGATTTGCCTTGCAGAAAGGGTGTGTTGAGAACAGATTCCACCAGCCACTGCACTTTAAGCTCCTCTTAAGAGAGACATGCCTGGCTACGGGTAATTGGAAAGCAGGCTTGACCTCCAAAATAATGCAAGGATTCTGTCCAGGACCTCCAGCTGATGCCCAGAAACATATGCTTCATACTGGCAAATCTTCCAGGAAAACACAAATCTTGAGGAAACTCGGAGCTAGAGACTCTGACACGTTTTTAGTGATATATTATAATGGTAATTAATCTTACTGACAAAAGGTTTGCCTTTCATTTTAATATGTCTGGTTTTAATTCCCACTTCCTTGTCCTTATTATGATTTTTTCATAACTCACTATCTCTCATTTTCATCAGTAGACTGACACCATCCTTTAACAGAAGTTATAATTATCAATGGTAAACTAAATGTTTGATTTTCCATGAGCAAAATAATAATTTAAAAAAAGCAGATATTTAGGTTGTGTCAGTACACTTCTTCGATCAAGATCTCAAAAGTGCTGGAGAGTATTAAATGCCATCATAAATAAAACCCATCATTCCAATAAAAGGAATTTTTTTTCCAAGAGAAAAAAAAAGAAACAGAAGTCCTGTACCATGTAATTAATATCAGCTTGGAAGAGGTTCAAAGGCTAATGTTGGAAATATGGCACAAGAATTAATTCATTCTTTCTTTTCATACTTCTTCCGAAAAATAATATGTTACAAGAAAGCTGCAATCTTGCTTCGGATGAGTGTAGATGGAGGATGAGATATGTGACCTTAGCAGGCAAGACACTGTTCAATGTTCAGCAGTGATTTTCTTTAGGAAGAAGAGCTCATGGCATTTGGATGGAAGGGTGTATGTGTAGGAAAAGGGGGAAAGTCATCAAAAAAAGATTGGCAAAGTTGGAGTGGTCTGTGTACAAGCCAGAGGGTGTGCATATGTATGCATAGAAAAGACAAGATTAAAAGAGGAGCTAAGCCACATATCAAAATTGCTTAAAGTCAAACAAGCTTCTCAGGTAGAAGGGAAGCATCTAGGCAGCTTTAGTTTCCACAAGCACCACCAACACCCACCAAATACAGCAACAAAGACGTCGTAATTGCCAGTGGATTGTCACAGGTTTTGGTTACAGTTTGTCCTCCAGAGATCAATCAAACTATTTCAACTTTTGTTGTCTGCATGTCAGGACAGGTATTTCATAACTCTGGAATCAAAATGCTGACTTGGACAGAAATCCTGACTTCATCATGAAGAGATTAGAAGGAAAACAAGAGGCTTTATGACTCTTCAGGTAGGCCTGACTTAAGTTTGGGATGGGGTGATGAAGTTATCTCACAGCAAGCAGGTACCCAGGAGACCTAATTCTCTTACCTATGTCACTTCTCCTGTTAGCTGGGGGACAAACCTTTTCCCTGTCTGTGCCTCAGTTCTCTATCTGTTAATCAGTATTTGAATAAATGGGAGATGGTGGTGAAATAAAAAGGGGTATAAAGAAATAGAATTATTTGATCATCTTTGAAAAGTATTTTGACAACCCCAATGACCTGGGTAGGATGGCAGTGATGATAATGCTGAATGCAATGCAATCCCCAGCTGTAGATCAGTGTATGGAAGACACTTCTCTTACTTCAGATCCACACCACCAATATTTATAAGAGCAAATAACCACCAGAAGGCTAATCTTGCCATGTTAATGTGGCATTGTGAAATCAGAGGTGCCACTACATTTATGAAGGAATAGCATGAGAACTCTGTTGCCCTCTCCTAAATGGGTCAAACTTTACAAGGTCCAAACAGTAGGACTCAGCAGAGCACCAATGGACAGGAAACTTTCTTGTGAAAAAAATATGAGCTTTGTGCTTGTTACTCTCAGTAGTGCTGATTGCTGGGATTCTGGGTTCCAAAATCAGCATTTGGCAACATCCTGATTGGCAGTGGTAGTGATGGTACAGTGGTGTGTCACAGGATGGGTAAAGCTCAGTAAACCAGGCTTTAATTTGCATTGCAGAAAAAAAAAAAATCACTGCTTGTCCTTATACAGTCTCAAGGGTGTTACGTCTGAAGCAAAGTGGGTTCAAAAAACTGTCTATGGCCCAAATTCAAAATCACAATACTGGATCAATTCCAAAGAACAGAATTTGAAAATTGAGAGCTGTGATTTTGTGTTGGGCATGTACTCAAAACCGGTCATGGCATAGGGGAATATGAAACATTAGCAAAAGTGATGGAATAAAGTAGAATTAGAAAACAATACTAATAAGAGATCATCTGAACTATTTGTCTGATGAACAACAACTCTATGAACATGGTGCCAGTCAGAATCATGCTTACAAAATAGCATAATCATTTTTTTCCTCACCCTACCTCTGGGTTCTTGAGTACATCCTGACAGAAATGTTTTGATGGGCCTGATACTGCATGTCTGTGATCATATCTGAATTAAGCAACAGAGTTCTTGTAGAGATCCCCAGACTGCTCTGTCTTCAAGAACAATATAACTATGTCAACCCAAAGCAGAGTCTGTGTTAGCTAGTGCTGGC